CCCCCCCCGAAAAAACAAACCATACCAAAACAAAACATAACAAAACAAACCCCACAAAAAACAAACCTATTAACCCCACACCACCATAGTGAAACAGAATAGGAAAAAGTTACACTTGAGCTAAATCAAATCTCTTTCAACATGATTAGCAGACTGTTATGCACTGACTTACAAAAAAAGTGGGCATTTTATCACTAGGAATACAATTTTTAAAATGGAACAATACACTATCTTCAAAGGTTGTCATTTGCTCAGTTTGAATAAAAAGCAAAGAAATCACGTGCTTGTTTTCTAATTGCACTGTTCCAAATTTCAAGCCACCTCTATTAACTCTTGCAAGTCGAAAGCCTACTCCCTATTTTGTCGTAGCATACAAAAATACGTTTACGTTTTCAGCATTTAAAAAAGGACACGTTACTCACGAACATTTTCAGAAAAGAATGAAGATTTGAAACAGTTTGATAATACAGCAAAGTATAGGCAAGCTGGTATATATGGCAAATTAGGAACTCAAGATAAAACAACACAGTAGGCTGTCAGTAGATGCGCCGATATCTAAGAGTTAATCGATCTTTAAAGGGAATCCAAGAGAACCGAAAATTGTCAAACAGTTCCAAAAAATAAAAAGCCTCGAAATTATGATATCAATAGCTGCGAATGCTTAAAAATAATATAAAATAAAAACTATTTCTTCTTCACAATATATATATATATATATATACTATAATGTTGTTCGCTCCCGAAAAGGACACTTTTCGTGTGCCACTGTTCACAACAGTTGATGATGACGTTCCACTCATTTGTGCATACAACAGCTGATTGTCTACCACGCACTTGTGCATGCACATACCATTATGTGAGACATCGTGGTGAAATCAGGCGCTCAATAAAATAATGAAATCGAAAAAATCGGCATTTTTGCACTTGTTTGGCAATTTTTATCGATTTTTTTCTTTTTGGCTCTAGACCTTGCGTGTTCTTTTAGAAACAAATTTAGGTGTTGATTTTTCTAAAATACTTACATTTAAGGCACAAAAAATGTACATTTTCATGGTCCAGGAGCTCGCAAACTATGAAAGTTCCCGCTAATTTTACCTCTGAAACAAAGCCCACCTCTTTCAATCGCAAATATTTCGACTTCTATTCAAGATAGAGGGGGACATTTCTTTAAAAAAGCAAGACAAATGAACAAGCTTTAATGGAGATGATACCTTTAACTCCACATGCCCAACAATTGACGATCGCCTTATTCCATCGCGTCGTGACACATATGACGGATCATTATAGGACCTACACAAAAAATGATGTTCAAAATCAAAATTATTGTGCATGCGTGTGTCCACTCTTGCTATGGCGGCAATGTCTTATCGTCCAGTTTCAAGTAATATCTCTGAGCCTTACCAGTGAGCATCCAGGCTAAGAATAAGAGCCACGTGATGATCCTGAGTGACGTCATCATGTACATATTGCAGCCTGCCGTGATGAAGGTAATCACAGGAACAAAGGGCGCCTTGAAACCCTCGTGGTGGCTGATGGGAAAAGGAAACTCAATTAAGTTTTGATTTCCTTTTTATTTACGCCCCCCCCCCCTCCAATAAAGAAATCGTTTTACATACATATTTTCTGTGAGTAACGAGAAGCGCACTAAAGCACACTAACAATTATTCAGTGCAGTGGAAAAGCAAGACAGACAGGCAGAGAAGAAGCAGAGGGATAGCTGCCAGAGACACTCTGCAGTTTTCAGCATAAGGGTATCCCTAAAGTCGGAATAAAAAGCGAATATCATTCACTATATTATAACAATATCTTCTATGACTATTATCTCCACAAGTTAAAAATTATAATGGCTTTGTAAGTTTGCTGAAAGAGGAAAGAATAGAAATCGCACGTCTCAGAGGACCTCAATAATAATCACGCCGGAAAATATCTGATGTTGAAAAATGTATGTGCATTTCTCGTCAAGACTCTGTTGGTACCATGCTGTAGAACGGAACAGATGACCCTGGTTCGAAACCCCAAAGAGGCATTTTGAACTTGGGTTGTTCTGGGGAGTTTTAAAGGGTCTCAACCTATTTATTGGTCAGTCCTTTCGGAGATGGAGGTTTCATTTGGAGGTCCTGCCTCATAGATAACCTTTAGTGTTGGTAATGTCTCCTCTTCCGTGATAGTGACGCAGGTAATGGAGCCGATGTGTGAGTAAAGGTGTAGTTAGTTCAAAAAGAGAAAAGTCCATTGGGTTTTTTTTTCGTTTAGTTGAGGTTTTTAAAAATGTTGATTCTAGAAGTTTTGCAACGTCGTTTTTCTTCTAAAACCAACAGCTCCACTGCTATCGACATTCTCTTCTCCTTGGGTTAGTACCGCATTACAACAAAACAGCGGTCAATAGATTTGCATGTGGTGAGTTGCAGACAATGAGACGATGAAAATAGGTGACTCACTACTAAATAATTATTTTAGGTTGGTGCTATAAGTTTCTTCCAGGAACCAAGAAAGAGCTTTTTTCAAAGAGGATTTGATACTACTACAGTTTGTGGAAGTGACGTCACTCTCGGGAACGAAACGGGGGCTGCGTGTGCCCACACTAGGATATTGCGCATCTATGCCCGTAAGGCGGAGGGTGTGGCAGTGGCCTTACCAACGTTGGCAAACAGGTACTGCGTGTCCCTACTCACGGGCACTAAGCGTAGATGCCAGTGAGGGCAGACGAGTGCTCATAGCTCTCAGGCGCAACTGCTGTGGACTCTAATAATTATGATCTCGGAGACAAATGATTAACTGGTATGCCGGTACTGTTAACAGTGGGCAAAGGGGGAGGAAAGCAAAAGATTGTTGGCCAGTGGAGGGAAGCGGGGTATTGGGGAGTGAGGGTACGGGGTGGGTGGGAATGATGGGTGATAGGGTGCGTGGGAGGCAAGGAAATAGTTTTCAACAATATTTGAATTTTAAAAAATCGAAAGTAAAGAGGTTCGTGTGACGCAAGAACGCGTTTCATCGTATTGACCTCAGGAAAACACCAGAACTACAACATTTCAATGGTTAAAGAAGCTGGAGACAGTCTGGACAGCCCAACTAAACGCAGCCCAAACCCGATATAATTTTATAGAAGGGGAAAGTTGGGGGGGGGGTGCAGAAACAAACACAAAGATTAACGGTTAAACACACGACGAGAAGAGATTCTGATAATCAAATGGTATCGTCATCTCACCTTCTCACTTTCTGCAGGCACATCAAGACGATCATTAGACTCAATGTGGCCAGTAGAACTGTCAGGAAAATAATGCTGACAGCTATGTCCAGACGAAACAGGGGCTCACTGCAGTAAGACAGAATTGCACACAGCACAAAAATCCCCACGTATGTCAACATCAGAATCGTCATTCTCTCGTTCTCTAATATTGGGGCGTTGAAACCAATTCCCAGTTTCTCCCGGAGATTGTTCCAAACTGTCCACGGGTACCTCCGGGACGTGGCACCCAACAGAAGAGATGTGTACATGTTATTGTCACTGGGATCAACACATCCGTTTGATGTCTCGTTGCTATCTTGCCTCCGTATCAATGTAGTAGACGATGACGAGGCTAGTCTTGGGGGCACAAAATGCCTCTCAGAAACATCTAACAGCTCGTTTGAATCCTTTGTGGACTTTTCGTTTGCATCTGGAGTATCATCCAGAATGTTTTTATGATTATTATCATAAGAATAATATTGATGGTCGTGGTACTCCAGATTGTTATCAGAAGCTTTCCTCTTGAGACCTGGGGAAGCTTCTACGTCGCATGTGTCGAGAGGGACATGTGTGAATACTTCCGGTATAGGAATGTAGCGAGTGACCAGAGTAGCAAAACTGACGATGACATAGCCCAAAAGTGTGCCTATCAGTACCAGTTCGATAAGTAGGCCAAGGTCAACAAAACCTGCCAGGAATGTCGCCACGAGACCAGAAGTGACCGTTGCTCTCATTGCAGTGTGCCTCACAGAACAAATTCGTGAAAAATACCTGTTGAGAAAACAATGGCGGTAAGATAACATCCTTGGATATGCAGTCTATCTATCAATCTACAAGCACAATTTCTGACTTGTTTTCTCTCGACTAGAAAGTGAGTTAGAGGAAAATAGGAAGGGGGGGGGGGGGAGG